ATGGGCTACCTTTCGTTCACCATTCCCTCAAGATCTTGTAAATTTTATTCACGTCTACTTGTTCCTCGTGGTCACATTAGGTCTCATAATCAATCGTATAAACCATCAGAAAAGAAAATTTATTGTAAAAGAACAGTTAACGATGCCAGACAACGGAAAGCCATCAACAGTAACATTTTCCACACGAAAACGTCAACGCCACTAAAGACTTACCAGCCCAGATATGAGGTAAATAAATTGATACTGAAAAGTTGTATTGTTGAATTGTATTCAAGACAGGGTCAGCAATGAAATCACCGGTCGATTAACGACAGGTAGGGTCGAATCGACTCCGCTGTCCTGTTGAGTACCAGTGAATATACAAACATTGAATCATAGCATTGATTCTTCATTGGACTGGCTCTGAAACAGCTGTCTATCCAGTGGTCACCCGGCGTTGCAAACAAGATTATTGTGACGAAAATACCCAAATACTAAGCAAATAGCTCTTCAAGAAACTCTGTTTGACATAGCTGATCTAGCTGATTTGAGCTCCTATAGATCTGGGATCTTTCCAACTCTCAACGGGACATCTCAAGGCAAAAAGGGTATGTTTCCTATGGATCCACCGTAGTATGAATCATACTTTTCCCGCAGTGAATAGTTCACAAATTCCGTTCACTGATGTGATTTCCAAGTCCACTACTACACATCACCACAGAAGCTGACTCAATGAAGCCAAGTGACACGTAATTTCCACTTCCCGGTCCCATGCTCACACGAAAGTATACTCCACTCGACTGACAAACATCCTTCCAAGATACCTGACTGTAAAGAAACTATCACCTCACGTCCAACTTCCAAACCCATGCTCATGTGCTACGAAGAAAAAGCAGCTCAGTGAAAACGAAAATGGCAAAACGTTGAGTGTGCACAAGAGATAAATGTGATAGAATACAATAGTAGTATTTTCAAAAGCTCTTTATCCTTTCATCTCGATTATTAATGGTATAGTTAAGTAGTCAGTTTTTCTTATAGGGGGGGGAGGAGTTGTGAGCAATCAGACGCTGTTCTGGTAGTGTCGAAGTTTTTGTTATTGGCGATGGTCTTCAAAATTATCGTCGTCGTCGTCTTCGTGGGATTTGATGACACGATCTTCGAATTGATGCACAAGTGACCTTGGTCACCTAAACCTCCGACTAAGCGGCTGTATTGATCCTACCTCAAATTTTGTACTAGTAAGTAATTTAAAAATGACCTTTGTAGTGTTCATCTCGTTGCGGTAGCATGATCATTTGCCCAGCTCCACTCATCTGCCTTCATTTTGTTGAAGAGTGGGAACAGCACAGTGGTTAAGGTCACCAGAACTACTTACTCCTCGGTCATGGGTTCGAAACCGCTAACCAACTTCCCTATCTTCCGTATGCCGCCAGGATGCTTTTGAAATCTCGTTCTGAAATTGAATGTCGATTGGTTTGTACGTTGAGCTAAAAAAGTGAAAGTTTTAAATAAACATTATCAATGATGTCTGTGATGTCTGGATGTAACAAAGATTTTCAAAAAAAATTCAATAAATTATCAAGTTCGCTTCACTCATTGACCGACCATACAAGTTGTCTGTTCTATGAAAATCCGTGTTACATATATCAGCCTTTAATGGATTTTGATCATGATATGTTTCAAGTTACCTGTTGGAGTGATGATAGAAATACACGGAGTTTTCACGACAATCCTAAGCAATTTAATGTGTTGGCAGATTGAACACTTATGTTGAAATTGTGAAAAGTTCAGTGGCATCGATGGGATTCGAACCCACACGTGGACGCCGCCCACGCTTTTGTACAGCACACGCTCGATCAGCCGCAAGCTACGAGGCCAAAGCATACATAATGTATGTAGACCATACATACTTTTCGTTTGACTTGTCAGTACAAATCTAGCTGGAGATATTGGAATAGTTTGTCCAACCGTCCTGGGATTCCTATTTGATCCCCACTCATTGGGATAAATATTAACTCTGTGCTTTGACAGCCATTCGGCAGATACTCCTCAACCGCTTGAGCTATGTTCTGACGCGTCATCGGTATTCGTGATTTGCCTCCTTCCAAATCATGTGAACAGAAGCATTTCATTCAGGCACTTAATTTCCCTTGGGATTGTGGGCATGAAAAAACCTCTCTTTCTGGCCACACGCACACATCTACTTAATGACCTTGACCTCTCGGAACTGAGTCACATGACTAACCTGAGATAATCGCATTTTCCGGAACCCGGGAGCTAATCAGCACACATAACTATCACATAACCACGCATTTGACACAATTCGATATTAACCTCCCAGAATTATGAATTACTGAAAAACGTGGTTTGCTTCAATTCGTACTCTAAATGTGAGCGAGGGTATATTTGAAAATTTTGAGACGTTCAAAAATTAATATTCCTTGCTAATACTACCCTCCGCCCTACTGGAATCCTTGAAAATAGTCTGCTGCATTCTGTTCGGCATCAGACAGTGGAACAGGACAGCTTAGTTTCACTCACTCACTCACTCACTCACTCACTCACTCACTCTTCCAATATATTTAAAGTTCAACATCTTTGCCATGTGATGCTAAAGGTAGAATTGATTTCCTGTTTGACCTAGAGCCTAATGTGACCGGTAGATGTGCATTCCCGGACTAAGTTTGCAACCACAATGAGTAGACACATGAGTGCCACCGTTTGTGACACTCAGCCATATCAATCAGTATCTCTAATCACCGGTTATCACGATCTCGAGGTCTCTCTCCATTCAGGGAACCTAACACGCCATATATGACTGAGTTTCCTGGTTGGGGGCTTTCACACTCTCATACCTGCCCCGCCTCGGCAAACAACTTGTGTGCGGAANGCGACAACCAACGCAGTCTATGGAAGTCGACCACTGACTTTATTGGGCCAACGCGGTTATCTAGAACCATGCATGAGCATTGTTTGTTCTATCGCCCCACCAGACTATTGCAATGCAACGTAGACAGTAATGCTCGAACACCGATAGTCTATTGCTATCCGCATCCCTTAAATGACCAAGTCTCTGCACCGAACAGCCGAGGCATACAATCGACCCTACACAGACAGCTGGATGTCACGAAAGCGCCATAAATATCTCAAGTTATCAAATGCCAATGGAACCTTNAGAAGTGGCGAAACTTCATCAGTGACGCACCCGTCAGGTGAGGTCCGGCTACCAATGTGACTAGATTTGTCTACTACCACTACTACTTCCCAGGAGCAAACCAGTCCCGTAGGAACAATTTACACTTTAAAGGTGCAAGATGCATGTCGAACATAGCTACACTAGCTTACAAGTCATACTAAAGAGCTTGAAACTTACCTGGATGTTCATTCAATAATACAATGTCGTCTGCATATCCTTTATCAGACAATCTGCTATTCCCGCATGAGGACAGAGCTGTTTTTAAAACCCAATCGACAGCAAAGATGAGTAAAAAAGGGAGAAAGACGAAGACCGCCTTCTGTGGTGAACTCGGGCGGGAAAGTATTGGGCTTCGGGCTCGAACATGGCTTCAGGTATTAATATGAAGAGGTCGTCATAATAGAGTACACTTATCGAGCAGATGCAGCACCAAAGCGGTTGACTGAGTCGAAAGTCGCCTTCAGATTGAGGAAGATGGTGTATTTCCATGAAAATTTTGTCTGTGTTCTTGAATTTGGCGAAGAATAGAAATGTGATCGATACAACATCGATCAACCCAATTCTCGTGCGCGCACAGCGTTCAAGCGTGGTAGACAATCGACGATGTATGATACCAGTGTGATGTATAAGGACAGATAATTCCGCTGTGGTTTTAAAAAGGGTATGCATTGCCTTTCTTGTAAATCGGTTAGATGACCGAATTACATTATGCAGTTGAAACTTGCTTCCTATTCCATATTCAACCCAAGAGTTTTGTCCTCTCGTGAACCCTGGTTGACCCTCCATCCTTAAACGTCGATGGAGACAGCCTGTCTGAACAGGACGCCTTAAACCTTTGGAGACCATTTATTTGCCGGGTAAACCCTCTTTCAAACAGAGGACTGATCCCATCTGTCATTATATGTCCAGTGAAGGGAAGAATTGGTACTAGTCTAGGTGATTTAAATTAATTTATTACTCAAAGCCTCTTTCAGTCGCGCTCGATTATGGGACCCGATGCAACGGCTACCGACCTTCAGAATTCGATCCGGCGTACAAGAGGCCATAAGAGTTTCCACTCACTCATAAATGCAGTTCTGTTTACGTCATATCACACGGAGTTACCTAGACTATTCTTATCAAACTACTATACTACTTGTGAGCAACATTTCACTTTAGCCGTGTTTCTCTCGGGAAGCACATGATTCAATCAGCCCTGCATTGCTATCATTATTGTTCTCCCCTGTCCATTGTCTATATTCACTCCGGAATCCGGTGCTATCACTGATGGGAACGTCTGAATAACACCGTGTTTGTCGAGGCAATGAACTGAAATCGTACTGTTCATGAAATAAATGATTCTTGTGGATGGTTACCAAATTGCGTCATAATTGTCTCGATCAGTTTCAATGAAACTAACCCTCTCCCCGGTTTCGCACAACACCGAAAATCAATTAATCAATCAATCACCAGTTAGCTTAATCGATTGGCTCCAGATATGAACTCAAAAATAGAGAGACCACAGGATGTTTATATGTATGTATATATATAATTTTACTTCAAGTGTTCACATTCTGGAATGACAGGGTCAAATAGCCCTAGATGAGACACCAACAAGCAGAATACAGAAAAGTTCAAAACGGGGGCATTAGACAAAATTTGATACAAGTAAATGTTTCTGAGGGCGCAATAAGGATTGAGGTGAGGGTGGGCGTTCGACTGATAAGTACAACCGCACTAGCACGAGTTTCATTCTGTAGGATGTTACAAGGCCCATGAAACCCAGCAGGCAATGAACATGATGATTTGATTATTGATCGAATAAGGTTGAATATTGATTAGATGGTTATGTTCGATCAGGATATGAATTGATCAAACTGACAGACAAAAAAACCCAGTACGTATGTGATGTAGTGGGAGTGGCGGGTAGGGAAAGAAAGTGCATCCGGGGGGTGGGGGGGGCATATGACCGATTGAGAATGCACCAAATCGAGAATAGAAGACAAATTTGATCCGTTAGACGTTTGTGTGTGTGTGTGTGTGTGTGTCTGCGTCTGTATGCAGTATGTATAATCCACATGTGTCCATCACGTACGTGCAAGGGAGGGGCATGCGAACTAGTTGAGCGGAAACAAATCCAAGCAGTTTGAAAATGTCTTCATATTCACGGTATCGACGGTTTCCGTTTGAAAGTCTAGTCCTCGTCGTCATCGTTATCTTTCTTCTTCTTTTGTTGTTTACCACTTCCACGTTTACGCTTCTTCTTCTCCTCCTCGTCCTTACTCTTGCGCTTATCATCGTCCTTGTCATCATCATCATCGTCGTCGTCATCATCTTTATCATCATCTTTATCGTCGGGTTTATCTTTGGGCTTTTCATCGCGTTTGTTATGATGCTTGTGATCTTCCTTGTCATCATCATCGTCATCATCATCATCATCCTTATCCTTGTGCGGTTTTTCATGCGAGTCTTTATCGTGATCGCGGTCGTGATCATGATCGTGGTCATGATCATCATGATCATCATGATCGTCATCATTCGTCGTTCCAGTCGGTTTCGTCGTCGGCTTACTCGGGGTAACTTCGACTGTGGGTCGATCGTGTTCGGGTTTTTGGGACACTATGGTTCCCGCAGTCGTTGTGCTTCTACTCGGGATGTCTGAAATTGACCCGGTCGTGGTCTGATCTGAAGCAGCTCCTCCAGCTTCAGTTTGAGTAGTAGTGGTCGCAGTGGTAAAGCTAATTTCTGGTGCTTCAGCTTCGGTACTGGTGGATGCGTGAGTCACGGATTCACTGGCAAGGGTGGTTGTATCGGAAGGAATAGATGAGGTGCTAGTGTCAAGAGAAACAGTGGTTTGTTCCGTGGATGGCTGACCAGTTAGTGATGCGGATGCAGTGCTGGACAAGGGGGGTTGAACGGTAGTTGTTGTTGAGCTCTCTTCACCGGTTGGGGTGGACTTCTCAGTGACCACAGTGCTTGTTGAACTGACTGGTGTGGATTCCAGCTCCGGCGAGGTGGGTGATGTGCCTAATGGTGAACTGGTTGAGAATTGCGGTAGATCCGTTGTCAGTCCCGAAGGGACTGTTGTGCTCTCAGATGACTGAGCAGATTCTGTGGCCGTTGTGCTCGAATCTGTAACGGTAACTGGTGAACCAGTGGGTAGAGACGAAGAGACACTAGTCGTACCGGTTGACGAACCCGTGGTAACGCTGTCACTCGGTTGAGCACTGGAAGGCCATGATGTAGTAGGTACTGTGGACACAGATTCCCCGGCGGTCACCGCTTCACCTGTTGTGTCTGTTGGACCGGAGGAAACCGTCGTGCTTGGCTCTGTTGTGTCCAGTAATGTAGATCCTGTTATCTCAGATGGGCTCAAGGTAGTATCAGTAGCAGAAATGTCTGGAAATGCAGTTGACGTCTCTGTGCTATCTACAGGTGCGAGTGTGGTGGAAGTGCTCGCAGATTCGGTGCCTGGTTGTGATACTTCTGTTACCGCCGCTTCGGTGCTGGCCAATTCGCCTGCTTGTGTTGTATCCGTTACTTCACCGGAGGCGGTTATCCCGTCCGAACCAACCTCAGTGCTTGGTGGGAACGTTGCGGTTGTGACATCAGCGCCACTGACAGCAGTACTACCCGTTACTTCAATGGACGTGACAGTGCTATCCAGGGATGCGAGTGTGGTAGAAGTGCTTTCAGCTTCGGTAACAGGTTGTGATACATCTGTTACTACCGCTTCGGTACCGGTCGTTTCAACTGCTTGTGTTGTTTCGCCTATTCCAACGGGGGTAGTTGTTTCTCCGGCACTTTCTGTTACTTCCGTGGTATTGGTAGTTTTGTCCGTGACTTCATCGGTGCTGAGTGGCCAAGTAGTCTCCGGTTCCACTAGTGCGTTTTCAATCGAAGGCTCATCTGAGAATTAAAAAATACCACACAGAAAAGTGCTAGATTGAATTTTCGTAGTACAAATGATGCGCGGACAGCGAAAATCACTTTGGAACACATTTTTCCCGTGGTTCTGGTGGTTGAGGAAGAGTCGGAACCAAAATATTGCCCACATAATACGAAATAATACTCGTGTATCAGATTTCGCATTTATCTTAGCTAGAAATAGAAAATTATTTATTTGAGTGACCAGAATGAGTTTCTTTGTTGCACAGTTGGAAACGCAGTGTGCGCATCTTGGTGATACCATTTTAGCGCGGTCGTCATCTACGGAGTTGTATTTAATCAGCAAAGCAACACAACATGAGTTGTAAAATGCTACGAGGATCAGTAGGTAATCAATCCATCGGAAGTTTAGTTTATTTGCTCGGACAATTCAACGGACTTAGTGGAATGTTACACATCACATTCCTGACGGTTTGTCCCGGTGCTTATGGGACACAAAGGGACTGCATGTGCTAGGAACTAAACTTCGATAGGATTTATTATTATACGGGGTTTTTGTTGTCACCCCACCACGTGATCACTTTTCCTTCCCTCGGGATGAAGTTAAACAAAGACTTGATGAATCATGATCATAATCTAGCTGTTAGTTCGGGACATCAATTTGTGCAGTCATTGTGTGACCGCGGATCTATAGGGTGATCATGACCAGCCGGTACTCATGGATGCGCACGCAGAGGTCAAGGGTCAAGCAAACGTTTCGGTCACCGGATTCTGATAGCTGTTATTATGGGCAGCGAGTGCTTATTTTAATGTGTGCGTGTGTGTTCATGCATGTGTGATACGGGACAGGGCAGGAACAGGGAGAACCTGTCGGTCCTAAAATCTCATCGTCGGTTTGGGTTGTAACCGATCACGTGCCCTTTCAGTCCCTATGCCTGGAAAACCATACTAAATGGAAATATGCAAACGGAACGGAATGGAATGGCTCTTTAATCAAGAGCCAAAAGAGCTCGGCCACATTCAGAGAAACTCACTGTTTACTGTGTGATCTCGGCAAACACGGACACATATCATCGGCTTACGCATATGCAACGTTTGCAGTTGTAAACTGCACTCAATCACAGCAATATGGTAATGAAATAATGATTTGCTCGTTAGTAAGGACGCAATCAAGTGAACGATACAGCGCTTCATTATTCTTACAAACGAATGAAGTCTTTTCTGAACCGAGAATTTCCCACCGACAAATACAGATCAGACATTTATTTAG